CATGATTGCCCAATTAATTTTCATTACCGTGACCTAACTCAAATTACCTCTGCAAAATACACATTAGTCATAGTAATCTCGTGTCATCATTAATCATCGAAACCCAACTAGGGGCCTATATGCTTACAGAGTACTCCCCGTCCCATCCTCTGCGCGCACGGAGCTTTGGGAGAGCAGGCCTTCGGAATCGGCGTTCGCATCGGGACACCTGCTCGGGTGTGTGCGGGCGATCAGATTTTTGGGGAGCGTCTCCGCGATTGCTCGCCGTCTTCATCTTCATCAGAACGTCTTCATCTCCTTCGTGGTGGAGCCCTTTCTTCCTCGGATCGGCTTCGTCTACTTCCCGGTGGACGTTCGAGGGACGGCACTACGTATATCTTCTTGCACCGACTGTGGTCCGCGACTTCGAGCAACTAACCATGAGTGGGTCTAGAGCCTCTGGTGTATTGAGCAAGGGTCCCTCTGCAGGGTACATCTCTATTCTCAAATTGGTTAAGTTCAATCTCTTTTCCGCTATGATCAGTGTGATGTTCATCAACATATTTGCTGCTAATCTGAGTAGTAGTAAAATCACACACGTGCACATATTTGTCATCATAAATTTGTTATTATTTTTTTGATTAATTTTAACATGAAATTGCCTAAATTCCTAACAGATACTTCATCCACATTAATTAATTCGACACGAGCTAATTAGACTCAAATATCGCAACTAATATGCATGCATGCATATGTTTCCGTAATTATGTGAGTCCATATATATAATTATTTTGGGTGGTTATCGAAGAAATAGTCCATTTAAAAAGAAACACCTCTAAAGATATTCATATTGCTACTTGTGAATAGTCTTAAAAGTTGTATTAAGACAACTATTTTAGCATTGTACGATTTAATGATGCTGTGCATAAATTTTTCTTTGTTAATTGTAAAAATTAAGAAGAATTGAATTGCTTTAAGACAACTTAAAAAGGCAAACCATTTTATGTACTGGTTGTTCAATGGTACCGTGATTACGTGCCACTTGTGTAAGACCATCTATAAAAGCACCTGCAGCGTATAGTGATCCCAATTATTTTTTCATTTTTTGAAACTAAACACCTCGTTTAGGTGTTGTTTGAATGAAAACGGTCCAGCGTATAGTGCAGTGTGCAAAACTAATTCTTCACTCCTTTCCAATAAAAAATTAATGTTTCTATTTTTTTTATAGTATTCCCTCTGTCCCTCGAAAGAACGCAATTCTAGGTTTCCATGATGAAGTTAGCAATGGAATCAAATAACACATTTACCTCTAGGCCTTGTATAGATCACCTCCAAATTCTAAGTTTTTTTACTTTCTCTTCACCGCATCAATTTTTTGACGCATGCATGGAGCATTAAATGTAGGTAAAAAAATAACTAATTATACAGTTTAGTTGTAAATCACGAGACGGATCTTTTGAGCCTAGTTAGTCCATGATCGAATAAAGTTTGTCAAATACAAACAAAACGTACTACAATATTCAGATTACAAAAATTTACGATGTAAACAAGACCCTACTTCCTTTTACTCTGACACACTACACACGAGGATCGAGGCATTCACTTGAATTCGACAAAGTTCTCCACTGCCACACCAGCTTGAGCAAGGAGAGTTTGTGGACAGGAGCGAGTGTATCTGCGCGCAGTATAGTGGGATCCATTCTACGTAGCTTGTCACGGAGCTAAAAATGTGTTCTTTGTTGGACGTACAACGGTTAGAGTCTAAAGTTGCATTATTTACCGGACGGGGGAGTATGACACAGGAGAACAAGCAAATAGTAAAAAATTAGTTTTTTTTCCCCGTCCATTCAAATGAAAAACTCAAAACTAGAAAGTTGTAGATCTTCGAGATCTATAATTTTCATATAAATTATTTTCATTTAATTCCGCAAAAAACTAGCTGAAAAATATTAATCATATCAAATGGATGAATTAAATGAAAATAAGAGAAAAAACATTCACGAGGCTGAAAAAAAGTTTTTTCATTTAATTAACAAAAAATTAATAACATATTTGGGTAATTAACATGACCTATACTCTTTACACAATTACACCCAGTGCAAACTCTAGCACTTATTGATAGCGTTTGCTAACAAGCACCACCCCAGCAACGTGTGACACCATTTCTAATGTTTTATCCTCTTTGCTAGCAACACCAATGTACTTACCCTAATAGGTAAGGTATTAGGATCAATATCGACTACGGTAGTGTTTGGTTCAGCTCTGTAAGTGGTAAGGTAAATAGGATCAGATTGCAGGGCTAATGCTTACACTGTAATGGAAAAGCGGAGATTGTTTGTTTACTCGCTGTAGTGGTTTCAATTGTCATCCATGTGTTTGGTTTGGAACAATATAATAGAAGACTCGGAGCCTAAACTTGCCACGCTTGGATAGGCTTTGCCCGACGAACGACGAAGGTGTGCGTGGCTCATGACGGAATCCCTCGCAGCCGAGGAGGACCAGAACGGGAAGCCGAGACAAAGCACTGGGGCTAGAAACTGGCGCTGATGGCCCCAAATCGCAGAGAAGATGAAGAGGAGGGAGAGGCTCACTGAAACCATGGATTCGATTGGGCTAAGGATATTAATGGAGGTGCACACACATCTGGGCTAAGGAGGACATCGTGGCAGGGTCGGTGGCGAAGCGATGAAGACGCATGGGAGACATGGCGGCACATGCACGCGGGCGGTTTGGGTGGGGATTTTTCTTGCGATTGTGCGAGGGGGCGGATACCGCTGGAAGACGAGCAGTATCGCTGTTGTACTGGCCGCATCCGTTAACATCGTGATCTGATAGAGACATGCGGAACCAAACATGAAGCAGTGGGACCAGTTTGCGTCGTGAACCGATGACGAGCCTAAAAGCCCCAACCAAACAACACCTATAATCTATGCTAATATGCCTAAAAATCCTAGAACTTTAAGTTTTTAGATGTAAAGAATACTTCCTCCATCCATAAGTCTCCATCATTTAAGCAAAATATTTTTTCCAAGAGTCTCCATCATATTAGATGGGGATCACGGGTTTGGTTTCTCGTACGCGCTGCGCATTTGGTGCTCATTGACTGCTCTTTGTCTGCATTTATTGCTCCTTGGCTGCTCATTGGCTGCGACTCCTTGGCTGCTCCTTGCCTTAAATGCAAATTAGCGTTGTTTACTGCTCCTTGGTCATTGCGTCGAAGGCTAATATGATAGAGACTTATGGACGGAGGGAGTAATAGTTTCACTCATAGTATTGACTAGACTCGTGCCCACAAAAAAATGGGACTGTTCGGTAGGACTGAAAAATACTATTCCGGCTGATTATTATGAGACAAAAATATTATTCTGTCATGATATGAACAGTAATTTCGTGAGGTGGCTGGCCAGCCAGCCGAACACTGCCAATGACTAGACTTGTTTGGGTCCATCTTGTTAACCCTTGCTTTTCTAGAAACTGTCACTCACTGGTCGTGGAGCAACGACTTTTGGAAACACCCAACTTAATAATCCTCGTACAATGGCTAAGCCGTCATGATGAAATTATAATTGATAACCATATAAGTAGACAAGTATAGTAACGGCAGGGGGCATGGGTTAGTAGATTCAACCTGTACTCCACACTATAAAAATTACAAATCTTACATTTTAAGAATAAATCATCATAGGACAATAAAAATGACGCATGTGGCCCCCTGTTACTTTGGTCCCGTTCACGTGCCCTTAAAACCAGCTTAATCCGTTTCTTTTTTCATCCAAAACAGTATTTTTCTCTTACAAATTCCTCCATATTCCCTCAAATCGCTCAAAACAAACGGAGCCTTTCATTCCCTTCTTATCCGTTGGTTGGACCAAGGTAAATGAATACATCCATAAAGTCTGTATTTTATTGTCATCATACATCTATCTTGCACTTCTTTCTATGACATATAACTAGAGTTGTGGGGTCCTAACATTGTAAAAAAAAATACTCCCGAAGCTGCACGCGGAACCATTGTGGGAGCCACACCAAACTGACCTCTAATACACAGTACAATATCCCTCTTGTTGAACGGCCATTGTGCCGACCATGACATGCGGCCCATGCGTAGGTCCATGACATGCACACAGGACACCTAGATGATCTCTCCACGACAGCCTCTCTCTCTGGTGCCAGAAGTGCGATGCTACAGTGCTGGAATAGTTGTTATGTCGCTGATACGCCCTGTTCAGTTTATCGACTTATAAGCCGTATTTTTTCAGTCAATAAATAGTATTTTTTCTCACAACAATTCAGTCAACGATACTTTCAGCCATGGCTTATTAACTAAGTGAACAGGGCATATGAATAGGCAACGGGATGTAGTTCTTGATGAGCAGAAGTCTTATCATGTACTCTCTCACTTCGCTCGCAAAAAATGTACTCTCTCTTCTAAAAAAGAAAAATACAATTCTTATTTTTTACGAGTCAAATATTTTTTAAATTTAACTAAATTTATATAAAAATCTACTAATATTATGACAAATATTTTCTCATAGGTCAAGTATTATTGCGTTGATTATGGAATATATTTTTATGATAAATCTAATTGAAGATATAAATATTGATTTTTTATATAAATTCTATTAAATAAACTTAGAAAAGTCTGACTTACGTGCAAAACTAAAATTGTATTGTTTTAGGACAGAGGGAGTACTCACTACTGGGGTGCAGGAACCAGGATGCTGTAGTAAAGGGCACGTAATGCAGAGATTCGTGCCTCGCTCCGCATGACAGAGTCCTCCCTCTAGCTCCAAGTGCGCTTGGCGCTTCTCCATATCCAAGAGATCCAACTGGCTGCAACTCCTTTTATATTCTTGTAGCTAGGTTAGCTCTAGCCTCTAGCTATTGTCGGCCGGCTAGTATACTAGCGGCAGCACACACACCACTGTCCACACTTCAACTTTGCCTTCTGCTCCTACTACTATATCTTTGTAGTCAAAGAGGGGTTCATGGGGACGGCTTCAACAAGCCCATCAGACACCATGGAGGCAGCAAGGCCCCCCGGTCTCTCCATCACCGTCGAGAAGAACCCGCCGGAGGCGCGCTTGCTTCAACTCGGTGTCAAGTCCTGGCCCAAGTAATGATAATTCAAAGCTTTCTTCCTGCCCCTTCTCACTCGTTGGTCTTTAACCATGTGACGTGTTCGTTCGTTCGTTCTAAGTTTTTGCCTCTGAGATCTGATCGATCGATCCTTTTTTCTTCGCGTACATATATATATGCGAAGATGGGGCTGTCCGCCGGGGAGGTTCCCGCTCAAGTTCGACGCGGCGCTGACGTGCTACCTCGTGAAGGGCAGGGTGAGGGCCGCCGTGAAGGGCTCCCGCGAGTGCGTGGAGTTCGGCGCCGGCGATCTCGTCGTCTTCCCCAAGGGCCTCAGCTGCACCTGGGACGTCGTCGTCGGCGTCGACAAGCACTACAACTTCGATCCCTCCTAAACCATATTTTAGCCCCACGCGTCGAGTTCACATGCACGCATCTTCTTGTTCTGATTTGTCTCTTCTTCTTTTGTCTGACGCCTCGATCGAATTCCTGTGTTTGTGAGGCTAGCAAGGATTTGTGTGGTAGCCATTAGTTTTCTCTTTCAGGACTCATAAGTTGTGGGTTAACAGAATCTGATGGCTGGCTCTTCAGTTGATAGCTAGTAATTAATATACTACACGACTAATGTAATGTAATACGGAGTATATTACTAGTAGTACAGTTACATAACAATATATGAGATCGAGTGGCAGTAGTGCAAAGATGACGTTCTTTCACGGAAAAAAAAAGAGAGAGGAAGAGATGATGTTCTTGATTGGATGCTTTCGTTCCTTGACCGTCAGTTTGCCGGTTAATTAACTGATCTATGGGCTAAAGGCAGGGTCCAAAGGCAGCCCTGTCTTTAGTGTTGTGACACCTGTGGGTGCCAGCGTCGCTCACTAGTGGTCACTGATGCCTGCTTTGAGGTTAATGATGGTCGTCACTCACAGGTTGCTTTTGGTATTGCGCTTCCCCCCCTTTCCTCCCTTTAGTGTTGTGACACCTGTGGGTGCCAGCGTCGCTCACTAGTGGTCACTGATGCCTGCTTTGAGGTTAATGATGGTCGTCACTCACAGGTTGCTTTTGGTATTGCGCTTCCCCTCCTTTCCTCCCTGGTGTTGGGGTGTGTGAATGAAGAGGAATTGAACGAAGTGGATGACGACGACGACGATGCTATCCCTTGCTGATCGAGCAAGTCCCTGTCCCGTCCAGCGGAAAGCGATGGTCCTCGCGACTTGACCGTCTCGCCGTTCACACTTCTTTCGCTCTGTCGCGCCTTGGTGACTTCCGACGTTCCTGGTACGGCGCATGGCGAGAGTGTTGTTGGTGCAGCAGGACAATGCTGAGCTGAAATGGCAAAGGCAAAAAACGATAAATAGCATCAGAGAGCCGGAGGGTATTCCAGCTTCCAGGTGGGCCTGTTATCTGACCAAAACTTTCATTGTTAGAAAGCCCAGAAGACCATGATTAAAAAAAAAGGGAAAGCCCAGAAGACCCATTAGAACACGAAAAAACCAACAGAAGTCCATTTGCCTAGTAGCATCCCACCTATATGAATCCAATTTCTTCTCGAGACTTCCCAAGAAAAATCCCGAATTGGATCCAAAATTGACGGATTAATGTGAGCTTATCCATGCGGTTAGGCACTCTTCAAATAAGAATCCATTTTCTAACTGGCTTTCGTACTTTAGTGAGTCTTCTGAGATCCTTTCGATGACCTATGTTGTGTTGAAGGGATATCTATATGATCCGATCGATTGCATAAGACCCGCGGTAGCAATAGAACCGGAAAGCCTTTCCAACTGCACGCTCCGATCCGGTATTCAGGTTGGCGATCGCAGCTCCATCAACGTCACCAGCCTATCGCTGAGTTTTTGTTTTATATCTACATAGCCATACTCCATCTATTCTAAATTATAATATGTTTTGGTCTTCTAGATACACAAGTTTTGCTATACATTATATCTAGATATATAGTAAAAATATTGTATTTGAACAAGTCATTATTTTATAATCTGAAATGGAGGGAGTAGTTGCTAAAATTATCTAAGAATCGATCTAAACGACCTAACTAATAAGTAACCTGATTATTAGCTAAACAACCCGTTAATAAATACTTCATACGTCCCAAAATAAGTAAAAGGAGATGTACACTTATATTAACATTAATACTTATTTGTATATATTTGGTAAAACTAAAAAAGTTTACTCCTCGAAAAGGAGATGTATATTTATTTTAGGATAGAAGAAATATCTCACTAGCTATCTCAACTCGAAACCAACTAATTGCAGTCCGAAGACAGAGAAAAAGACGTATGCCATCAGGCAGCCTGTTCGGTTGGCTGGTTCGTATCGTTGCTGGTTTGGCTGATTCATGTGAATAGTGCCCATGTGAGGGGGCTGGCCAGCCAGCCCCAGCCGATCGGGCTGAGGTTCAATCCAAACCCGCATAGCCTACAGATCGAGGACCACAATCAGCCTGTTCGATAAGACTGAAAAATAAGCTAAAATACTGTTCCAGCTGATTGTTGTGAGAGAAAAATACTGTTCCGGCTGAAAACACTGTTCATATGACCAGTGTTTTTCTGAGAGCGCTGGCCAGCCCAGCCGAATGGGGCCAGCCAGCCGAACGCGCGGAATATGGGCCTTTGCTGGAGCTACAGATTCAGAACCCTGAACACGGTTTTAAGATGGGCCTTCACTTGTCGTAAGCCCATTCCAAGGTGCTCCAGTTTCCTCTCAAAAAAGAAAGTGCTCAAGTTTAGCGTTGCAATCTACATCAGCAGGATTTCAAAAAAAAAAAAAAACTACGTCAGCAGGAGCATGTACTGTTGAAGGGCTCTACGCTCCAGGGTCCTGCTCGACTGCTTCCATCAACGATTAAGCCTCAAAATCTCGCTCCAGTTCTACGGCACTATTTCAGCAATATTTTTTAGTGAACAAACATTGTTTTTCTCTTAGAACAAATCAGCATAAGCATTAGTATATACGAAGCGCTTCAGCATTCAGCCTGTTCGCTGGTTGGTTTCTGGGCTGATAAGTCCGGTTGGTGCTGGTTTGTTGTGAGAAAAAAAACACCATTAACTAACTGATAAGTCCTAACTAAAACCAACAAACTAACATGTTGATTGACGTTTTCAGGGAACAAAAAGACTGCAGCAGCTGAGGCTCGCTATCAAGGTCCCTCCCTTTCTCGGCTAACAAATATCAGCACTGATGCGGTGCAGCGGCGATCCAGTCTTGAGCCATTACTCCTGTCACAAAGACAGCTCTTTAGTCTGACGGAGTATCCATGCCAACTTGAAAAAAAAACCAAACACGACAACAGTGAAATTATGTACGCTTCCATGCTCCATTGGTCAGCGCCACGTTTGTTTGGGCTTGTTTAACTTATAAACCGTACTTTTTCAGCCAACGAATAATATTTTTCTTTCACACCAAATCAGCCAACAGTAATTTTAGTCATGACTTATCTGCTAATTGCCCACGGGTTCCACAAGTAAGACGCATCGGGATAACCGTGCATCTCTATCACCAACGAGGAACAGCACCTTGGACACCTCAACCATGTTGAATACTGGTTACCAGATAACCAGATTGTATATACTGATACTGATCCAGCTGCTGGATTTACTTACCGGATACAGAGGATGATGCAGGTGACTGTAGCACCGAGCAAAAAATATTAGAGAGGTGAAAGTTTGTCACCGTTAAGGATGCATCAGCATGTCATCAAATGGAGAAGGCCATGTCACACAAGCTAGATACTTGGCTATGTAGCGGGCGCTGACTTTGCATCTTACTAATATACGGAGTACAACTACAACCTATGCTGTCCCTTTTTAGCTGAATCTACCATATATATTAGTATTTCAGCAACTACAGCGACATGGCTCGAGATGGAAATATTAGCTGGCCAGTAGGATGAGAGCAACATTTCGTATTGTTTTCCGGATTAACCAGCTCAACTATGAATAATTTACAACGAATCTACTACGAAATGAAGGCTAGATGAACTGTGTGTATGGAGCAATTTGATGTCAGCGACGACAATAGGGAAGATTCTAGTTGAGCACGTTAAAATGTGTTTTCTTAGGTAGTACTCGTGTTCCTACCGTATCTCATCACAAATTCATTTTCTCAAGAATCTCAAATTAATCATTCGTTCAGTGCCAAGTGTTGTGATCAATACTACACGCAGGAAGCCAGGGTGGACTTTGCTTGCAGCAGCATCTGGTTATCATACTAGCACCTTTCCCAGCCACAGCATCAGCAGCAGGTGATAATAATTAAGAAATCAACTTGTCGGAGTCGAGCCTCCAAGTTGCAGATCATCATTCACAGGATTTTTTTGTCATAAATAACATAAGATTTATATGACGCGGATTGGTGGATACTGGTGAATGTTCTTGACAAGCATGTGCTAACTGCTCACAATCATTCAGTACCAGAACAGAACAAGAAACCGACCAGCCATGAGGACTGCAGAGTGTAATGCAAGCAGATGAATGCTTTGCAATAGTAATCCCAGAGAGCAGGTATGGGATTCGTCATCAAGGGGCACTAATCTCTTGATAAATGCTTGATCAGTTGCATCTGTAAGTGTCTTAAGGCACCCTCTTTCTTTCAGTCAATCAGTCTGAATGCTCGACTGGATAAGGCTGCCGATGGCTATCTGATATCTATGTTCAGAAATCAGAACCAAAGTACCACTGCACCAATAATGCTTGGGAGACAGAGAGTGTAAGATATTGAGTTCTGGCCCTAATTCAAACCTTCTCGTTTCTCAAATATAACAAGATCATCACTCAGACTATATTAACGAACTACGAAGTTATTTTATCAGCACGGATCACGATCCAATTAGATTCCGGTCAATGCGCAGTTGTCAGCCCATGGGAATCAAAATTCCTAATGGTAGGCAAACATGTCCAATGTCAATGGTATTAACAATCTAGGGATCATAAAACGGCATGTAGACATGACATGCTTGCAGGAATGTATTCCCTGTACCGAGTAGAAATACACATCTTGCTCACATGACGCGTTGTCTGTCAGAAGAGAGGATGAACAGCTAAACATACTAGTATTTGAAACAGGCTCTGGCGAATCGACGTGGAGGCCAACTGCAAGAGGAACTCTCAACCAGCCAAAAATAACTAGTCTAACGCTGTCGCATTACGGCATTCTTAAAACAGAAACCCTGTCATCAATTAATGAAACCAGGGTCAGAGATGCCAAGAGCAAAAACAGCTCTTCGGGCCGAGAAGGAACATTTCCACACCCCCGGTCAGGCTCAGCAAATGAGGGAGGGGATGCGAAGTGGAATTTGGCTTCCGCAGATGCGACAGGTGGGCACAGTTTTGCGCTGAATATTCGCCGCCTGTTCGACTCGCGGATACCTGGATAATGTGCT